ATTTAAGCAACCTTACGTGAACCTCAGAGATTTTTGTTGCAAGAAAATAGGATGGTTGCACTAACTTCACTGGATAAAAATGAAATGATATCTTGCACGGGTGTTATGACTGGGTATTAAATCTAGGCTTAATGCAAATGAATGCAAATCAAGGCTTGCCTTATATATGTTTTGATGTAACCGTTTATATCATTAGTCCATACCACACTATTATTTCGACAACAGGAGTAAGTCTAACATCGATGCGTACCTATAAACTGCTGCAATAACTGTAAGGATATAAGTAGCTTGGGGGTCGTACAGTGCTCTTGATGCCCTAATGAGCTGGTCCCGACAGAAGCGTGTACTGGCGACAAACGACTTGATTTAGATCTAGATTTAAGCAGTTCTCCTCTCTCTTTGTATCCTTCGCTACTTCGTTTCTTGATAATCTCATTAGAAGTTTCCCAAATAAATGATCGTTCACGCCATTGAATTTTTGAGTGTAAGGTTATATGTTTTGATGGCTCTACTTACATTATAAACATCTTATTAGTAAGGGAATTAGAAAATGCGATTTTATTTCATAAAACACTTCTATTTTCGGAAAATCATGAGTTCTACAATGCTTGGCTCTCGATGTTTTGACCATTAGTTTTCCTGTAGTTTTCCAAAACTTTTAAGTGTGAAAATATGATTAAAGTTCAATCCGAATCCTCAAAGGCTCGAAATTTACAATTAGGAAACGAGGTGTCAAAGATATTGCTTCAAGGCAAGCTCTGGGAAGCGAAGCCTAGGGGCGCAGTTTACATCTTTTTTAGATTTTCTATTCCTTGTAAAAGTGATCTGAGATTTGAACCTCAGCAAAATCTGTTTTTCATTGCACTCCAACAAACTAAGACTTTTATTTATTCCCCAAAAAGGTCATATATTTCAGTCCACACATGGCGTGAGCTTCGCTGCCGCTAAATCAAAGTATTTTCAAAATAGCTCAGGTCAAACAATCGTAAAATGTTCATACTCATGTTTTAGGAGCAATGCGATTTTCCTGAGAATTTTATAGTTTCCAATGGCAAGACGCGAAGAATTCTCATATTCATATTTTACTGGTTATAAGAAAGTCGCATAAAATGTGCCAAACTTAAAACTTAGGGTTGCGATACGTATAACTTTGAAAAACTACTTTGGGCTGCATGTAGCGAAATGGCAGCACAGATGATTCATTCTAGTTCAACGTCATTCAACTCTGCATTTGAGATTTGCGAGGTGATATCCTGAATTATACACCTACATAAAAGGAAGTTTCATTGTAGCCCAAACTTAGATAGCAAACAGAACTCAAGTGCTTCTCTACGTAATCATCTTCGTATGCTAATGGGAAAAGGAGAAACTACCTAATCCATTGAGGATTGGATGATTTAGCATTATAGCCTGAATTACCAGCAACATTTCAATCATTATTATAGCGCCTGTTCTCAATTGAGAAGACTAAGACTTTAAAGTTAAAATTCATTTAAAGCTTCATTCTAACAATATTTTCTAGTTTCAATATCTAAGTTTATAGGAAAAGGCGAATTTGAAACAAGTTTCGGTGTCTGCAATACCTGGTAAAATTATTTTCGAATGAGCACCTATCGGTTACTAAGATTATGTTCAAGGCTCACCATCGTCCAAAAGATTTGTACGCATTCTAAAATTAATTGTTAGTGGTTACGTCACACCTGCACCTCGTCGCGCACTTTTATGTATACATCCTTCACTTCTAAGTAAAGATGTTGCTAACGCTTTAATTGCGATGCTCCCAATCATTTCCTACAAAGAATAGGCAATGTAGTGCTGTACTCACCGTACTTTCTGTATTTGTGCAATTTAGTTATTCTCAGTCTTGACTACTTCGGCTGCTCCCTGTTTCTATTCTGTCTTCAGTCGTCAAGTGTAACGGTCAGCCAATCGATATAAAGATCGTAAGATCTACTACCAGTCTTCGGATTCAAACTCTACAACTACTAACCTAGTCCGATATTCCAACATGTTTGCTAGGACCCTTACAATCTGCTTGTTGACTTTATTGGTAAGCTTTCACTAATCGTCCTTTTTGTTAGTAAAACTAAGCGCGAAAAGTTCCTTTAAGGTTGATCCAATTTTCAACTTAGCGACACATTCTTACTGTTCATAATCTTATCATTTTGCTATGGTTCCTATTATAAACGAAACAATCATATTTTGTCTCCTTCCTCTCCTTTCTCCTCCTCTTCCACCCCGCTCCTCATTTCTATAGGATCTCTTTTTGTTCTTTATCAATTCGTGTTTCCTTTCAGTTCTCTGCTAAATTTAAAGAAGCTAACGGAAATATTGTGGAAGCTAGCGAACATTCTCGTGTTAAGCGACTTGCTCTTCTTCCCTCTGAATGGGCATCAGGGCGAGCGCTTCAATTTTATACTGTCTATTCTTCATATGTACAGATTCATTTCCAGATTTGAAGTGTTTGTTGACTTTTTGTTTTCTGTTCAGCCTGTGGCCCGGAGGAATCGTCCCATATGACATAGCCTCACATTACGCTCAGCATGAACGAAGCGTGATTTTGTCTGCGATGGCTGAATTTCCCAAGTATACTTGCATAACTTTCAGACCTCGGACAGAAAGAGATCTGTATTACTTGTCTATTAACAAGTACTACAAACAGGATTAGTAAGTGACTCTAATACCTCAACAAGATGGTTTTCTGGATCAATCACTTTTTTAGCTGTTCTTGTAGCGTTGGCCGCCAAACTTCTATCTATTTCCGAACAAGGGAAGGAAAATTCGAAACGCGAATGAGATTGCATGAAAGTTGCCTCCGTTACGGCGAACGTGGTCGAGGAACAGTGATGCACGAATTGATGCATGCTCTTGGCTTCCATCACGAACATCAAAGGTAGTAAGAATGACTCCCGTTGCTTCACAGCACAGATTGCGAAGAGAATGTTTTTTACAGAGAAGACCGTGATCCCCGCGTGAAAGGCAATTCTTATTGGGAGACCATAGTCTACCCAAGGAATAAGGCTTACTATATGGGCGCATACGATCCAACATCAATTATGCATTACGACTTCCCGGGACTCACCTACCCCAGGACGCACTTCAGCCGAAGCGATATTGCTCGTATCAATACTCTGTATAGGTGTCCGCAGGCGAAGAATTACTTTAAGAATTCGTTACAGCAACGGCAACAATTCTCACAAAAAAGAAGCCCTTGGCAGTATGAACGTATGTAGCTTCTAACTAGGTTAGAATTATATTGTGATAGACGTGCCTGTATCTCATTTTTTTGCGTGCTTTATTTGAAAATTTGCGCAATTTGATGCCTCATTGCTTCTATATGTATTATTTGCTCACGAAAGTTTTGTTATTTTTAGGAATATGGAATATTGCCACATTAAATTTTTGGCCTCCTGTTAACCTAATGTTGAAGCTTAATTGTGAAACAGAGAGAGTGGAACATTACTTCAGACGTGTTCTCAGCCTGCTTTATATTCTCCATGCCAGCCAGTTAGGTTTTTAGTGCAGAGATTTGTGTCTTCTCCAGCAGGTGAGAAAAGTGCTGTTGTCGCAGTGATCGTGTCGCCTAACTAGTCCACGTCTGTCCAGAAGCATTCCACAAAGGATTATCCTTTTGATCAGTAAAGCAATAAGCTTTTAAAAAGAAAGTTCAAAGTTGACAATTTGAAAAGTGCCCCTTCGCTTGTCGATAACAGTCGGCCAATATCGACACGGAGTACTATCTGCTGGTATTACTGGTCCGTGGGTCCTCATGCAAGCGCGCGCTAATTTAGGACAAAGCAAACAAAACCAATTTCTGCAGCAGCTCACCTTTAACTGCAATACCACACTTATCCTTGTTTGTCTTCTTGCAAGTAGGAGTTTTATTTTCATAAGTTGCTAGCTCTGCTAGAAGAGCGCGCCAGCGAGATGCATGGCCATAGATGCAAGAAATTGGCATTTCCTGTTAAAACTGCATTTCTGTAGACATCGTTTTAAGTATCGTAAAATGTTCATCGTGGCAACGGAGTCGACGATAAGATTTTGAAGGAAACAACCGCCCTTTGAAAACGAATGGCACAATTGAATACTAAAAATTTCATTATATAGGTTACAAAAAGGACATAAAGTACGTGCGCATTCTAAAAGATTTGCCTTTTGGGATTTAGAAAATGGCCAAGATTCGCCCGTGGCCGCGCATAAGGTGGCGTGCCTTAGATACCCGGTGCTCCTCAGGCGGAGCGTGCCAGACAGTTAAATTCGCGGTGATCGATAAAATCTAGCGCGATCGAGCCTGACGTCGAGCGCATCTCCGGCCCCGCCTGCTTCCTGTTGACGGCTACATTTTGCGGTCGCTATCTCAGCGCCCGACGAAGTGTAATTTGGCGTCTTGTCGTCAAAAACCTCAATCACACTGCGAGCCCTAAGCCCCAAGCATAAAGATTAAAAATGATGTTTCAATGTTTTTAGCACCATTTTAAGAAAATCAATAGTATTTTTCGCAGTTCTAGAACAAAGCGAAACAAATTTATCTGAATAAAATGAACCGGATTAAAGCAAAACTCACGGAAATGAGAGGATATTCATAGGATTTTTTACTTAATTCCAGAAAATCAAGCAAAAACACCAGCTCCAAAATAAATGAGGATAATCAGAATTGAAGCAAAGTAGAAATAGTTCTTATGGAAAGTAATGCACAATTTTGTTCATTTCGCAATCAGAGGGCAAACTGGCACAGCTTTGATCCGAGACAGGATTATCTATTATTTTCTAAACTACGTGATTTCATTATATAGCTATAAAACAATAAAATCTGCATGAACCTTAAAATATGCAGCAAATGCGAAATGCAAAAGAATTCATCCGTTTAAGTTCATCACTTTACTGTTTGGTAATTACCAGTAAATTGTCTTGACAAGGTTACCAATAATAAAATTCAAAAGAAAAACAGTACAATGAATGATAGTGTAGAACTAAAATGTGACAAGGTATTATTATACCTAGCAGCTAAATGTTGACATTGGAGGGTAGATTGCCTCAAAATAATTGACTTTTATATCTCCAACAATTATTTGTTGGCGTAAAATTATTATTTATCTTCTTATTATGGCGCTAAGAACATTAGCACATCTATTTCTAATCTATATGCCATGTTTGGCACTTTAATTAAGTTTTTTGACGACGAGACGCCAAATTATAGTTCCTCGGCGGCGCTGAGATAGCGGCCGCAATATGACGTAGCCGTCGTAAGAGCAGGAAGCGGGCGGG